CGGGAGAACAGTGAGTCAGGGCTGGGCGTGCTGCCAGTGAGAGGCCCACGGCCTCCAAGAGGAAGATGTCGAGTGCGCAGATGGGTAGACAAGGCCAGAGTTCAGGGGAGAGTCAGGCCAAGGAGTCACCAATTTGGGAGTCACTGGTATATAAATAGTGTTTAAAGCCACGAGACTAGATGAGATCACCTAGGAAGTGGGTGTAGACTGAGAAGAAAGGAGGCTGGTGACCGAGCCAGGGGCTCCCTCAGGGAGCATGCCAGGTTCATAACCAAACATGCCCAAAATCCTGAGAGGAGAATACAGGGGAAGGGACTATGGGTGTGGCCGTCCCCACTGAAGGTGAAGGTGATTTCTCACTTTCCCTCTCTCTATCTCTGTGTCTCCCGCCAGTAAGTGCACACACACTATAGCAAACTAAAAAAACTACTAATAATAATAATAGAAAGAAGGGCCTGGGACCAGCAGATGGTGTAATGGCTACATCGCCGGACTCCCACGTAGTAGACTGCAGTTAGAGTCCTGGTGGCTTAAACTCACGCTGGGCACATGTGCCCGAGTAAAAAATGGAGGAGAAGGGGATTGCGGCGTGTCCATCGCCCCTGGCGGGTGATCTCTCACTTTCTGTCTCTCTGTGTCTCTGTCTTTCTGGTGAGCACATGCACCCTAAACCAAAAACCTCTCCAAAAAAAGAAAAGAAAGAAATGGGGCCAGCAAGTGGCATAACAGTTAAGGCGAAGGACTCCTTCCCACGTGGCAGACTGCCGTTTGAATTCCAGATCTGGCCTCTTGAAACTCACACTGGGCACATGTGTGTGCATGCCCAAAATCCCAGGAGAATGGAGGGGATGATGTGGCCATCCCCTCTGAGGGGGTGATTTCTCACTGTCCCTCTATCTCTCTCTCTCCCTCTCTCTCTCTCTGGCAAGCACACACATCCTCTGGCAAAATCCTTTTTTAAAAAGTTTTTAGGAGCTAGCAGGTGGTATGGAGTTAAGGCGCTGGACACTCCCACATAGCCAACCACAGTTCGAGTTCCAAACCTGGTGGCTCGCTTTCTCACTTTCTCTTTCTCTCTCTCTCTGTCTCTCTGTGGTCAAATTTAAATAAATGAATGAATAAATTTTAAAATTAAATAAATAATTACTTAATTTTTTTAAAGTTTTTAGAAGTGATTGCTATGCATTGTAGTGTGCGCATGCACTAGAAAGAGAGAGAAGCGCCTCTGATAGGGTCTCCCCACGCCATGATCCCAGGCCCACAGCCCTCCAGCTCTTCAGACTCGGGCACCGCGCACATGCTGGGTATTTCAAGCGGACCCTCCATCAAACCCAGGCTCTGCACGGGCTTCCAGCACTGCAGAGCAGTTTGCCGCTCTACCTACTGCGCAGTTTCCATTCCCTGACCCTCCCTACCTGGCGGCAGCTGGACCATGCTGGGGGAGGCTGTCCCACCCCAGGAGAGGGTTTTCAGCAAAACACACAGGCTTTTGGATTCCAAAGCCTTAGGACTTGAGGGGACTGAAGGATTCAGGGGCAAATAAAACGCGTGGTGAGAAAGGCCTGACTGAAGGCTAGAACAGGCTCCTGGGCCAGGGAGAAGGAATGGTGCAGCCTGTGGGGAAGGAAATCCGTAGGGCCTGGGGTCCACACCTGGGGAGCGGAGCAGCATCCGGAAACAACCGGCTCCCACCTGTGTACCCCATGGCACGCCGTGTCCTCCATGGAGGCCCAGGAGCCGTCCCCGTAGGAGCCTGTTGGTGCAGCTGAGATCGCACCACGGAGCGGAAGCATCCAGGGGCTCTGTGGGCAGGGAAGCAGCCCCCAAGGGCTCTGAAGGACCAGCAGTGCTGCCTTTCCTGGGGCCACCCACCTCTCCCCAAGAGGCACTCCCCACCACGTCCCTCAGCATCACAGGCACACCACCCCCAGGGCCCCCAGACCAAGGAGTGGTCCTGGACACCGGAGGGAAGTGGCCTGGAAGGAAAGGCCCGAGCAGGGGAAGCACTCTTCCCCACCTCCCCCACCAGAATGAGGTGGGGATATTTCTGGTCATCTCTGTGACCCCCAACAGGCCTGGCAAGCAGTAAGTATTTATTGGCCTATATGGAATATGAGACAACAGAGACGGAGCTCCTGACCCCACCCCAGCCACTGCCTCCCCAGTGCCTGCAGTGACTAGCCGTGATGGCCCTGTGACCCAGTCTCGCCAATAGGACGAAGCAGAGCCACAGGGTGGGGCTGTCAATAAAGCTATTTTAAGGGAATGGACGCGGCCTGTCTTGTTTTTTGCCCTTTCCCCTTTTTCCTGTTGGAATGTGTGGCACCCGTGGTGAGGTGACAGAATGATGACAAAGGTCTACAGGCAAAGGTGGCAGAAAGAAGGATGACTAGAGCCTAGGCCCCTGATAGGGTAAACGTGCTCCAAGACCACTGTCCAGTCTCGGCTTCTTATACAAGGGGACTTCAAAAAGTTTGTGAAAAGTGTAATCAGAGAAAACAAAGCTCGAATTCCACATGTCATGTTTGCACAGGGCGCACTCACTTCCTTGTCCTCTGCTGCAGAATTCAACCTAAACCCCTGTCCATTTAAGCCGCTGCTGTGCATCTGTTCTGCAATTTGCAGCTACACACGCAGGTCCGCAACACCATCACGTAGACCTTCGGACTGAGGCTGACCTTTTTACTTTTTTAAGAATGATTTATTTTATTTTATTTTATTTGGTTTTTTTTGTTGTTGTTTTGCTTTTGTTTTGTTTTGTTTTGTTTTGTTTTCAATTTGACCAGAAAGAGAAAGGAAAAGTGGGAAAGCAAGCCACCAGGTCAGGGACTCGAACCGCAGACAGCCATGTAGTAATCCAGCACTTTAACCACTATATCACCTGCTGGCTTCCCCAAGACAGATTTTGAAGTTGGATCTTGGCTGGTGATATCAGAAACCTGGGTTTCCCTCACCACCTTTCCTCCTTCCAAAATTGCTCTTGTCAAGGCCACTGTGTTCATTAAGATAAGTGATGACAGCTATTGTACTAGACAAATCCCCAAATCCCAGCGGCTTACACAGTGAAGGTTTACTTCTTTTTTATAATGATTTATTTAATTTTTATGTGCTTTGTTTTGTTTTGTTTTTTCTTAATTCACCAGAGGGAGACAGAGGGGAAGAGAGAGAAAGGGAAAGTGAGAAAGCAAGCCATCAGGTCCGGGACTCAAAACTGAAGTCTGCCATGTGGGAGTCCACACCACCTGCCGCCCCCACCCTCCATGGTTTACTTCTTGTTCATGGTACAAGCCAGTGCGGGTGGGTATGGAGGGTCCCAGGACACCTTCATCTGTAGCCCCACTCTCCTCCAGTGATGAAGCCCCCAGAGAGGATCTGAGAGGATTATGTGTTATTTTACAGTCTGTTCTGGAGGTGGCACATTCTGCTTCCATCCACATTCTGTTGGCCGGAGTCAGACACATGGCCACACCTAGAATCCAGGGAAGCCTCTGTCTCTGTCCCAATACCCAGGGCTTACTTCCTAATCCTCCTTTGTCACTGCCTCAGCTACCCCGGGCACAGCTGGCCATCCCGATCTTTCTGAAACACCCTGCTTGGCACCCTTCCTAACTCCTCTGGGCTTCCTCTCACGTTCCTGCCAGTCCTCTTCTCCCACTTGCCCTAATGTGTCGGGGGTCCTCAGCAGGCTCTGAGTCATCCCTGCGCCCCTTTCTTCTCACCCTGCACAATCTCACCTGTACCAGCAGCCTAGTCACCATGATTACACTCACACACCCCTCAATCCCCTCAATCTCCGGCCTGACCTCTCTCCTGAGCTTGATGCTCTTGCATCACACAACCTCCTGGACATGGTCCCCTAGATACACACAGACATCTAAACTCAACATCCACACACTGCTAATATCCTCTTCCCTCACACCTGCTCCTCCTCCTCCTGGGCTTTGCCTACTGCCAATGGCAACGCATCACCTAAGGACTCGAGCAGGAAGCTGGGCACTATCCCTGACAGCTGCCTGCCTGTCCCACACACTCTGCCAGTCATCAGAACCCTGCGGCCTCCATCTCCTAAATGTCTTCGAAATCTATCTGACCCAAGTTCATGCTACGATCACTTCCCCGCCAGACAGCAGCATTCCAAACTCTGCCTGCGCAAATCTTGATCCCTTTAAGGGAACTCTGAAGCACTGGTCTTTCTGAGACTAGCTGCATAGACACTAAAGCCTCACTTGGAAACTTTGCTAAAACACAGTAATTCTGGGACCAGCAGATGGTGTAATGGTTATGTCACTGGACTCCCACATAGTTGACCACAGTTCAAGTCCTGGGCCTGGCGGCTTAATTCACACCTAATGCGTGCCCAAGATCCCAAGAGAAGAGAATGGAGGAAAGGGGATTGCAGTAAGGCCATTCCCCCCCAGGGTGATTTCTCACTTTCTGTCTCTCTGTCTCTTCTATGAGCACACACACCCTATAGCAAAAATCTCTCTTTAAAAAACCCCAAGAATTCTGGGTCCTGTCCCCAGAAATCTGATTGTGGTTCAGAAGATCTGGGGCAGGCTGGGAGTTTGCATTTCTAACATTCTCTGTGAGGAACTTGAACAGATGTGGAGGCTGCCGCTCCAAGTCTGCTGATCACTTTGAGTGGCACAGATCCTGCGCTGTCCTCTCTGGTAGCCCTAGACACAAATGGCTATTTAAATTATTAAATTAAAAACAAATTTAAAATTCAGTTCCTCAGTCGCACTAGCCACATTTCAAGGGCTCAGCAGCAAGCATTACAGAACAGCTCCATCGCCGCAGAAAGTTCTCCAGGACTGCGTTGCCCAGTCCTCGCTGAGCCTTATCAAAATGAAGTCTGATCCTAGGTCCCTCTCTTGCCCGTAAGAATTCAGAAGTTTACCACTGCCTACAAGCTCATGCTTTGGGGAAGCAGAAAGAACGCTCGAGAGCCAGGAAAACGGTTATGGGAGGACAGGAGAGGTGCTCATACTTGACGGTTGCGGGGAGACCGAGGCGGGACCGGACAACCTCCAAAAACCGAACGCCAAGAAATAATCTCCAAAGAAGCTGCGACCTTCTCAGGCGGAAGGAGGGCCGAGAGCCTTCAACTCATTGGCTGGGAGTAGGGGGCGAATTGCTAGCACTTTTCTTTGATTGGGTACTTTCTCTCAGAGAAAAGCTAATCATCTAGGGCAGTGGGGGCGTGGTCAGGCTGTTTGCACAGGCCCCGCCCCGGGTTCCGGTGCCCACCCACCCCAGCGAGTTAGATTGGCTGTAAGTTCTGACCCCCTAGGTCTTTAGAGACCCTTCTGGTTGTGCCCACTTCCCCACCCCCCTACCCTCGTCTACGCTCCCAGTTGGAGATGGAGGAGGCAGGTCCTCCTTCCGACCACGGGGGACACCCGTCCACCAGTCCTGCCCCGTCCCAGCCCGCAGTCCCAGGGAGTACATGCCCAGGCCCCTGGTCCTGTGCTCAGCCTCCCCGCCTGTGAAATTGGATTGTGCTGATCTTGACAGTCTGCTCTTCTGGGCGACAGGGGAGAGGGAGACAGAGCGGGAGCAGGAGACCCAGGAGGGCCTCAGGACAGGGAGGCTGTGTCCCCACAGGAGGATGACTCAGGAGAAGGGCGGGAGCCTGTCCGAGGTGCAGATGCGGGTCGGGGCCTCGCATGGCATCACCGACCTGGCCCAGAAGCTGCATTTCTATGACCGTTGGGCTCCAGACTACGATCAGGTAAACCCATCAGGGCTTCACCTCATTTCCCTTTGCTTGCCCAGCCTCAGTTTTTCTGTCTTCAAAAAGGGAATGGTTGGGACCAGCAGGGGGCA